TCTTTCTGGCACAAAGTTTTGGTTGGGGAGGGCAGACAAAATTATTCTCTCTTGTGCTAGCTGTGCTAGACTTTGAGTGCTTCATTCACCAGCTTGCTGCATTTATGTTATTTATTTATAATATAATTATGAGTTGGTTTTGACTGCCTGTGTAGGATAAGGAAGCTTTTTTGTACTTAAGGAATTAACTGCCTTTTGCTAAATTCTAGAGGCAGACTTGGATTTGAAAGGGAGAGTTTAAATATTACATGTTAATTAAAGTAGGAGGACTCTGCTCGCCGAAGCTGCTGATCATAATTCTTTGTTTTCTTGAAAGCATTTCCACTTGTAAGAAAAGGCAAGCCTTTCAGTTTTTGCAGAGCATAGTTTCTCCTTGGTAATATAAACATTTTTGTGATAGTTGAGAATGCGATGATTGAAAAGCCAGTTGAGGTCTCAGAGGATTCAGGCTGAGTTACTAGTTATATGGTGTGGGGATCTGTAATACTTAATGGTAAATACTTAGCAGGAAGACCTGCTCCTTCTATTCATATTTTCTTCACAGTATTCCTTTCCACTTTCTCATGTAACAGAAGTACAATCTTTTCTTAAGATGGGATTGGTTTGCCAAGCTTTAGATGTTTCAATATAAGTCTTTTAAGTTTCTGCTAAGGTTTGACTTTGTCTACTAGAGAGTAGACCGAGTTATGAAAGACAATAGTTATCATTAGCTCTCTGTTTTTAAATAAAAACCTGTTATGTCAAAAGTAAGAAATAGAATAGAAAATAGGAGAAATTCAGGAAAGATGTATGAATGCAACAGTGTGTAAAAGACATTAAAAGGAAAATAGGAGAGTGCATACACAGGCTCCTTAGCACTATTACACATTAGCTAAGACCAGAAGCTCTGGTTTTAACTGGATTGGAACTTTCTTGTTTCTTATAAAGATTGAATTGTTAAAAGTATTCCCTTGAAAAGTCTTGAGCAAGTATCCAGCTTATTTGTTGACTTCTACCTTCATAGCCTTCCACTTGGATGTAACTTCAGTGTTATGCAAGATGACAAGAAAATACCTTACCATAATAGCTTTGAGGGAAAAGAAAAAACTATGCAAGTCAGCCAAACATTCTTCTTTCTTTATGCCATATATTGTCTATAACTACTCATATAGATTGTACTGATAGATTTAACATTACAGGTTGTGAAAACAGACAGTGAGAACTGAGAAAGGGACACGATTTGCATAAACTGAGAAAAGGACAGGATTTGCATATTGTTGACTAAGTGCATCTTACATACAAAAGTGCAGTCTTATACAAAAACATTATAAGATAATTGAGATGTAGTGTTTAAAACACTAAATATAATGAAGACAAGATTTTTCAGTTCTTCACTGTGTCAAAGCTACCACTGAACAAAATGCATTATGATTAAATATTTTTTTAGATTAATAAAACATTTATTAAATTTACATTGTTGAGTCTAAGATTAAGGGACTGAGTTGAATTTATTTTTCTTTTAAGCATAGTTTTTTTTTTCCGGAACAGAAGTGAATACAAATTACCAGAAGATAAAGAATTAGCCTTTCCCTCCAAACAAAAATAATTATAACACCTAATCCAGAATGAAAGACCAGAAATACAGAAAGTGTAATCTAGTAAGACTGAAAAAAGACAGAACTGGAAATTACTACAGGTTAACAGACCTAGAATGTAATTATATTTAAAAAATTCCTTGAGAGCTACAATGACTGTTGTACAGTTAATTACAAGTAGAAGAATCCAGGAAAATACCCTTGAAATAGGCAGGAATATATGTCTCAGAACGTCTAAGTGTAAACTAGGAAAAAGGAAGACATCAGACAAATTCCTCAAATAAGCATGAAGAATGGCAATTGCTCAACATGAATTGACTTAACGCTTTCTGACTGTAGTGGCGCAGTTGTCAGTAAAGCCTTCGCGGCTAAGCGAGACTTTAATGAACTGACTGAAAATTGTTAGGTAGTTTCACCATTACATTTACAAGTACTCAGAGTGGTCTCGTAGCCCATCTTTTGCACCGTGCATCTTAGTTATGACTTTTTGAACCGATTTTAATGTGGGAGCTTTTTCAGTTTTTTTGTTTTGTCAAAAAAAAAAATATTAAAAGAATTAGAAATTCCAAGGGAAAAAAATTAGAAGAGTTATTTGGTCAAAAGGAGGATAAATCAGAGATAAAATCCTGGATACCTCTTACCTCATCTCATTGCAAAGCTGAGCTCCAGATCTTTGACTTCCTCCTAAATATTTAGACAGTCTCCTTTTTCTTGTTAATAGCTTATCCACACAGATCAGTTGCTGTAGCAGTTCACCATATTTATAGAATCATAGAATCCTAGAATGGTTAGGGTTGGAAGGGACCTCAAAGATCATCTAGTTCCAACCCCCCTGCCATGGGCAGGGAAATCCTCCACTACACCAGGTTGCCCAAAGCCTCATCCAACCTGGCCTTGAACACTGCCAGGGATGGGGCATCCGCAACTTTTCTGGGAAACCTGTTCCACTGCCTCACCACCTCAATGTAAAAAATTTCTTCCTTATATCTAATCAAGATCTACTCTCTTTCAGTTTAAAGCCATTGCCCCTTGTCCTATCACTACATGCCCTTGTCAAAAGTCCCTCTCCAGCTTTCCTGTAGGCCCCCTTTAGATACTGGAAGGCTGCTATCAGATCACCCCGGAGCCTTCTCTTCTCCAGGCTGAACAGCCCCAACTCTCTCAGCCTGTCTTCATAGCAGAGGTGCTCCAGCCCTCGAATCATCTTCGTGGCCCTCCTCTGGACTCGTTCCAATTTGATTCCATTCTCCAGACTGACAGTTTTTCTTAGGGTAAAACTCAGCAGCCAAGCAAGATGAAAAAGCAGGCTTCCTAATGCAGATTCTACTAGTTTTTTGATTCAGCTCAAAGTGACGCCTGATCCTTGTTTCCATTATGTAAAGTGCATGTGACTCAAGGAAGCTGAGAAAATAGCCTCACCAAAGATCATTGTGCTTCCTATTGTTGTCCTCTTATGCTGTGTCCTGTTTTGCAGTTCCCGAGATCTTTATTCTAGACAGTTAAGTTCTAAACTTTCTTTCATCTGAAAGCCTTTTTTCTTGGAGGCACCAGAAGAACTTAACCTAATTCTTGCAAAATAAATTTAAATTGGGAAAAAAACCCACAACAACAAACCCTCAAAAAACTACTTCAAATCTGAAATATAGGAAATAGATAGATGGAGAACTGCAAAAGGTCTTTATGCAGAAGGATAGTTGTTGGAAGGAGGAATGGAAAATAACAACTTTTATAGCTGTGGAAGAAGACAGAAGAGGAGTTGAAAGTCAAACCACATCATCATAGGCTGTGGTCATAGAGGAAGACTATGCACCAGTTGCATGCTGGAAAAAATCGTATTTGTTTTTTCTTCTGCTAGAGATGTTTAGCTTTGTTAGCACAACAGTGAAAGAAGAGTGTATTTCAGCGCATGTTCTCGTGTGTTAGCAGTGGGAGTTCTGATTATAATTACAAGGAGCTTCAAGGCTTTCATATTTCCTAGAAGGCAATAGGGAAGGTTATTTGGTACTTGAACATACTGTTCTGATTTTCTCTGTTGTATATCGAACAAGTAATAATAAACAAAACCTATTGGCCAGTCATTAACAGCATTGTAATACTGATCTGTAAAACAATTAATGCTACGAAATTCCAAATGAAGTTGTTCACTACGGGGAATCAGGTACCGAAGAAATGAATGATTGATCTATTTTCTTAATTACAGTCTCTCTTTATTTTTTGGCTTCAGTAGCTGTACATGAATATTATTTCATTGTATAGTTTATATGACTAAACTTCATTAACATTGCCTCTTTCTGAAACAGAGCTATGATAAGTGTTTTCTTGGCTCTTCGGAGACTGCTGATGCTAATAGAGTGTTCTGTGGCCAGCTTGGAGCAGTATATGTGTTCACTGAAGCACTCAACCCAGCACAGATTTTTGCAATACATCAGTTAGGACCTGGATATAAGGTAATAATGGAATGGATACAAGGTAATAATGGAACTTAAAAAACGTAAAACTGGAAAAAGAAAATAATTGATAGATATATTTGGAAGGTATATTTGCATGTAGATATTCCTCTTAGGATCATGTAGAGCTATGTGATTTATTTTCAGCAAAAGAATATTTCTTCAAGTATCCTAACTAACCTTAATTTCCACCAGCTTTTTGAAAGATGTGAGTTGTCTCTTTAAAGCATAGCTGAAACATGTTTCTATGTGGTATTTATGACTTTGGGTCATAATCAGATTAGAGCAATTTTGTGTTTGGTGTACTGAGTACCAGGGAAATAACTTTCTTCTCTACTGTTTGTGTATAAAAACTAAGTTAAGGCAGATTAACATTGAACAAGGCATAATAAACCAATTTTGTTCAAATGCGTGATTTCAAACAGTTCTGCGGAAGTTGAGCTTTTTACTCATGTTTTGCCGGTGTCCTTTAGGGGATAGTTTGGACAAACTAATGGTGCATGCATAAACTTGGATCTGTAGCATGAACAATCACTTATGTCTTGGAATGCCTGTGTAAGGTATTATTTCATGAAGAAAAACAACGCAGATACTTTGTAGAAGTCTGCAGAAAGTGCCTACTGGAGAAGGCTTGAAAATAAATCTAACCCCAGCTGACCACTATTGAATTTCTACCATCAATTATTCCCAAATTTTATTTTTCTGATTTGTGAAATTTGTGGTATAATCTGAAGTAGAATTTCATTTTTTTCATATAAATCGTATACTCTGAAAATAAAAACTTAAAAAACCCTCGAACTTTAAAATAAAAAAATAGCAAGTAAAAATCAACATTTAGATTCTAATAATATTAATTTGGTGTGCTGAAAATGATAGTTTTAAATTATTTGATGACAGCTAACACTTGAATGACAGTGACAGTTGAAAATATCTTTTATGGTATTTATGTAATGTAAATAGCCAAATATATGTCAAGGTTATATGGAGAAGAGGAAGTCTATTGCATACAGTTGATGGTTAAAACCTGCCTTGAAACTAAAAATGTTCAGTCAGTCAAGAGATGTGTATCACCTGTGCAAACAAGGAGTACTTTATTCCAAACTTAATACTGTATTTTGTTTGAACAAGTATTTCTGCAAATGTTTTTTTGGTCATACATAAGAAAGTAATGTAACCTAATGCTTCTTAATAATAAATGTAGTAAATCTTTATGAATTTATTAGGTTCCTGGATTTGCAGCAGCATACTGAAGTGATACCAAATAGAAATAATGCTCTCATTTGTTTCAAGAAGTGAAAATTATTATGTAATATTTTGTGAGTGTTGAAGGAGTTCATAAGGCATACATGCTTTCACGCTAAACTACGTTTCCAGTAGTTACTGCATGAACCTTATTACAGTGTTGTCAAATTACCTTACTTGATTCATAGGTTTCCCTTGAACTACATTTCTTCACTCCTGTAGCTTCTTAACGATTTTTATAAAATGTCAGTTAGATAAAAATTAATACTTCGGGGGTATTTTTCTTTGGTATATCAAATTTTTTAGGTTGAGATCATGTTACCAGCACAGTTAACACCTCCTTCCTCTCTAAAGTAATTTCCTTCCTTGTCTAAGAATCTGAAAGTATGTTTTACTAGTAGCAGTTAAAAAGAGCTGGTTCCTAGAGCAGGACCTTAGAAATAACACAGTTTTGTTCTTTAACTTCCTTATTTTCAAAAAATAAGACAAAACAGAACCCTTTTTTTCTCCCCTTCTTCCAACCCAAGGTCTACCCACAGCCAAAAAAAAGGAAGCATGTCCTGTAATTTAGACATCTCAGGGCTGGTTATGGCTTTCACTCAAAGCTTGCCTCTTTCACATCTCAGTTTATTTCTGTAAATTCTTTCTGATTCTGTGCGGGTGCAAAGGTCCATCAGTTCAGAGCACTTCGGTGTGGTATTTCATAGTCCAAGGGAGCCCCAATGGACACAAAGGTCGAATTGCTGGACATTAGAGATCCCATTCTTGCTCTTACCTGACTTGCTTATGCAAACTGGCCTTTCAGAAAGTGTTCTTAAGCAGTTCACTACATATCCTGTTCATTCTAATTGTTGATATTGTTAACCAACTGGAAGAATCAACCTCAACTTTTCCAAAAGAGCAACTATTCTGGATGCGTTGTGAACTCCCGTTGTGCCAAAGCTTTTCTCCCAAAGGATGATTATTCAAAATACTTGAGAGTTTTTGGAGGATGTTTTCATACAGATGTTTTCTTTCCTATGACTGTCTGCAGTAGTTCCTTTGATTTACAATTCTTACTTTAGTCCACTGTATCCCAGGATTCAGATTCTTTAGGGAAAATAACCATCCCTTAGTTAGTGCTCTACATCATTTATTCATGACAAGAGATGATGATTTTGCCTATCATTCAGCTACCCTCACAATTATTCATAATGTCCCTAGTCTACAATGACTGCCATTAAGATGTCTGGAATACAGAAAAATCTGCATATTCTTCCAACATACCAGAGCTCCAGTGTGGTAAGCACAAATCTGTGAATATATGTGGTATCTAGTGTTGCAAATCACATCAAAGCGACAAAGTTCAGGGAAAGGCAGATCTTGGTATGTCCTTCTGAGTGCATTCTGTTGTAACGAGCATGCCTGAATATAAAAATTTTCTTATTAAGCAAATAGATACTTTACTTTGAAATACTGAATTTTCAGTTGTAACAAAAGGCCTATTTTTTTTTAACAAAAGATGTTATGTTGATTATGTGAGTAGCAATATTGAAAAGCTGCCACACTTAATAACTATTGCGTAGAAATGGCATGTAATCAAAGTTTTAAAAGGGGAAGAGAGGAAAATACACTGGTAGTAGAACTGTGTGAGTTGCTTCTTCCCCATTAAGTTTTCCTAAATTCATCCATAAAGTATCTCGAAATTTTAAATTCTATGTAGTAGAAACATAGTAGAATTCAATATTTGCATTCCCAGGTTTTATCTGTAATAAAGCAACACTCACTTTGAGTCTTGCAGTTGCTGAACAGGACTTTCACCTACTATGTTGACACTTTCAGTTGCTAGAGACTGATGAAAGAAAAAGGAAATGAGAGCAGCATCCTTGCTCTCACTGTGCTTTTTCTGCTACCCATCGTTGTTCCCAGGCAGCAAAGAGGAGAGAGAAGCATGTCTCAGCTGAGATCCTGAGCAGCTGATAAACGCAGAATAGAGGGGCAAGGAAGGTAATGTGGGAGGAAGAGATGCATCTGATAGCAGTGTTCGGTGCTCTTTGTAAAGGGATGTTTCAACAAAGCCCTTTCCTAATAGCCCTGTCAAGTCTGTACTACTCCTCGTAACCCTCCCAAATGCATTTCAAAACGAGTTACCAGATTATTCCATATGTTACTGAGTCTGAGTTTGCTCTTGATCAGTGCTGCAGTATCAATCTTTTTGTCATGTACAAAGATTGGAGTAAAAATGCATTAATGCACGCCCATGCAAACACAAAATACTATTGAAAATTCAAATTTGCTTAGCCAAGCACAATATAATATTTTATGTATGGTCGCCGAACCTACAAGAGCAAAGAGAGGTGAATGGTAAGTCAAAAAGCAGCACTCGCGGCTAAAGGAGAGGCAAAGCTGATATTGTTTAAGTAGTGGTCCTGATCAAGCACAGCTGCTTTTACTGGAGAAGACAGTGCTGGAGTAATTCTCAGCTCGCTCTGCTCCCTCTCCTATTCCTGTAGGAGCAACAACTATCCTTTATACCTTCTTTGTGGATCTTGTATATATTTTTACCATGTATTGAATATGTTAAATGTAAGGCTTTTTTTTGCTGCCTTTGTGCCTTCACACCAGTTGTACCAGATCTCAAATAAGTTCCTTCAGTGACCAGTAACTAATGATTTGCAATTTGACCTTATACACCTGACAGCCTCTGCTATCCTCCTGTGGCTGTATTTTCCCAAGTCCCTAGTACTGAATTTCTTTTCTCTTTTTCTCTTTCTCTAGATCAATGTTAGTAATAAAGTAGTACCATATATTAGAATTTGTAGCCTCTCTTTCCGTTCTGTTATGATAATCTTTTGGGTGGGAGATTAGCATTTCCAATTTATGATCACTTCTGTTAGGCTTTGATGGTAGAAAGTCCCTTTAATTGTTGTTTTTCTCCAAAGAATGTGAAACAGTATTATATTGATTCATAACTTATTTGTGCTTGACTTTCAAACACTGATCTCTGATAAAGTCTTGAGACATAGTAAACACTGAAAACTAGGAGGTAGAAAAATGTCAAAATTTGTTTTATCAAACTGATTTTATTTTAACTTGTGAAATTTTAAAAGTTGCAAAATTCCATGGTAACGAAATGATGCAAATTCTGTGTTGAAGCACTTTAGCATATTTAAAATGGCAAAGTTATGAAAAACTGTATAGAGATAAAACATTCTGAGCTTTAGGATCTGACAAAACTTAGAGGCATGAAAAATTTTCTGAGTAAGAAGTGTTTTCATGTGATAAAACATCAAAATATAATACAAGCAGAATGCAGGTATCTTCAGAAATCAATGAAATCACTAAATTGTTTCTGCCTCTGCAGAAAGTACACAGAGATTTATCTCTATAGTTAAAAATGCCCTCTGGAGAGAAATACATCATCACCTTTCTCAGGACAAATCAGTAATCTGTAGCAGTCATTTCCTGACAGGTAAGATGTAGCCAGCCATATCAACAGAGAGCCAACTCTCAAGCTCTAAACATAATACTGAAGTAGAAACCTAAAAGAATGAGTAAGTAGTGTTGCACAATAGGAACACATTTTCCTATTAAAATGTTTGGTGCTGAGGACCGAATACCCACAGTGTGTGTATTTGGGGGTTTTACTTCACATAGGTTGTAGTCTGATCCTTTGGGCTAAATGACTACTACCAGTTGCAGAACACATCAGTTTCAGCCAAAAGGAAGTCTCTTTGGTTCTGAACAGCTTCTCAGTATGAACAGAGCAGTAAATGGGGATATCTGGGAGTTTCTCTAAAAAATGGACTCTTAACCCAAATGCAGATCACAGTATCACAGACTTGTTGAGGTTGTTGAAAGGGACTTCTCGAGGTCATCATGTCCAAACCCCCTGCTCAAGCAGAGCCACCAAGACTCTGTTGCCCAGGATTGTGTCCAGTCAGCTTTTGAATATCTCTGATGATGGAGACTCCACAACCTCTCTGGGCAACCTGTGCCATTGCTCAGTAATTCTAACAGTGAAAAAGTGTTTCCTGATGTTTAGAGGGAACCTCCTGTGGTACAGTTTTTGCCCATTGACTCTGGTCCTGTCACTGGGTACCACTGTGAAGAGCCTGGCTCCTTTTTCTTTGTACCTTCCCTTCAGATATTTATACATATTGGTAAAATCTCCCCTGAGGCTTCTTTTCTGCAAACTGAACAGTCTCAGCTCTCTCAGCCTTTCCTCATAGGAGAAATGCTCCAGTCACTTCATGATTTTAGTGGCGCTTCATTGGACTCTCTTCAGTAAGTCCCTGGTGTTCTTCTCCTGGGAAACCCAGAACTCCAGGTGTGGCCTCACAAGTGCCAAGCAGAGGGGAAGGATCACCTCCCTCAGCCTGCTGTAAACACTCCTTCTAATGCAGCCAAAGAAAACATTATCCTTTGACAAATGTAGATTAAACCACTGACTTCCCATTCACTTCCTTTTGCCCTTCCTACATGCATTCTCTGTTATGGTACCTACATCTCATACATTTACAGCATGGCATGGCTGCCTCCCTCCTGCTTGACATCACCAAGCATGGGACAGGGCTGACTGACAGACCTGCTTCAAGGGTTCTCCAGCAGCTGCGGTCAGGTGCCCAGTCTATTCAGTCTACATCAGTCTCACAACCCACATACAAATGGATGCTTGTCACAAGACCTTATATTGCCATGTGTCCATTGCTTGAGCAGATGCACTTTCCCATCATTTGGCTGTAAGCAAGAGAATTTTGTCAGAGTTTCCAGCAGCCTTGAGAGCTCTGCAAAAGCTGGATGGGTTTTACAGGTTTACGTAATCGTTAGGAACATATAATTTGTTTGGAAAGAGAAGCTGATAGTCTATAAGTTGTCTGGCTTCATTCTTCTAGCCTGGATAACCAAAACCCTAGTGACAGTACTTTCAATATTTTCATGATACAGGATTTCTTACTGTGTTGGGGAAGAGAGGGAAAGATCTGGTAGGACCAAAGGGATAAAGAGAATTGTGATGGCTATATGCAGTAAAAAAACCAAAATTATTCATACTTAACCTCAGCAATAAATTATTTTAAACTGAGTAAAGATTTTAGAAGATATTATATATATATTGCATTAATTAAATGATGGTCATTTCTAACGAATTTACTTTACTTGTGTCAGTACAGCACTGTGAGTTACTGTGACTTGTCTTTTTGCGACTGTCAAATGATTGTTACATGCAGAAGTAGTTATGTGCCAAGTCAATCTGACAACGCTTTGCAGAAGGGCAGAAATCTTTCTTCTTGTGCTTGATTGGTTTGTCAGTGTTGCCAGAAAACCTAGTCTTAAATCACATATGAATCATGTTATGTTTAAGACTAATAGAAATTCTTGGTTTTCCTTTGTAAAAGCGTTGAGTCTGAGAATCATTCATTTAAAATATGGCATTTATAACTTTATTTGAATTTTTTTTTAGTGTAAACAACTTGTTTATAGGTACTCCTGACTGTTAATGTTGTTTAACAACAACTATTCCTTTAATCAAAATGATTTAGGATTCAATATTCTGAGTGAGTTTATATAAACTAAAATACAAGGCATTTAATTTGTTCTTTATTTTTAGTGTGTTGTATGCTCATTTTTTTTATTTTAACATATTTATAGCTGTTTGGTGTGACATATTTCTTTCAGATAGTTACTTCTGAAACTTGTTAACACTGATGCTGAAAGGAGAAAAAAATAATGCTACATAAAATACCAAATATTATATTGACATGTTGATGTGGAGTAGAGTAAATAAAAAAAATTGTCTCATTGTTCAGTAGCATTAAACTACTGGAAAATTGAAACAAAATTTAACACTTTCTGTATTTCTTCTCAAGTCCAATGTATTTTATGCACATTTTGTGGCAAGGGTTTTGTCTAAAATATTTACTTTGTAAAACTTGTGTTGTCTTTTTTTTTTTTTCAGAGCACGTTCAAATTTAAATCTGAGAGTGACATTCATCTGGCTGAGCACCATAAACAAGTGCTCTATGATGGGAAACTTGCAAGTAGCATTGCTTTTACTTATAATGCGAAGGCTACTGATGCTCAGCTATGCCTTGAATCCTCACCAAAGGAAAATCCTTCAATTTTTGTACACTCCCCCCATGCTCTTATGCTTCAGGTTTGTGCTACTAAATTAATGTTCTGTGATTACTGTTACCTCAACATCATTTGGGTAATAAGAGGATTTTGCGTGCTGTGTACAAAGAGATTGCTATTTTGTATTATTTCAGTTCTTGATATATCTGTCACTTGAACTGTTACTCCTCTGCTCACTTTCTAGAGAAAAAAATATTTCTTCATTAAGAAAGATATGCTTCATAACATAAGGCGTAGTTTGCCACGATACTGAAAATTTTCAGTTTAGCAAGTTGCAAGTATAGCAATTATAATTGAAACATAAGTAATGAAAATAAACCAAGTCTGATTTTTTTTGCACTCAATTTAGTGTTACAGTGTTCCCAAGTTATGTTTGTAACTGTCCTTCCAGTTTGAGATTAACTGAGGTTTTTCCTTTTATTTATTTATTTTATTGATTTAGGACGTGAAAGCTATCGTAACCCACTCCATTCACAGCGCAATTCATTCCATAGGAGGGATCCAAGTTCTTTTTCCTCTCTTTGCCCAGTTAGACAACCGACAGCTGCATGACAGTCAAGTGGAAACAACAGTTTGGTAAGCTGCTTTCAAGCAAGATAAAAATAAATTAAGCTAAGAATATTTCCATTTTTGTTTTCAGAATATTTGATTTGTTTTCTTTTGCAAATGCTGTGACTTAAATTTTACCCTTGTTTCTTTGAAAATAACATTTTTTTTTTTAAAGTAGTTTACTGGAGAGGTGTGTAAATTATATTAATCTCATGAGATTCCAGATGAAACTGGCATGAAATTGATTGGATTAAATAATTAATTCAAATTAACTCTAGTTTCTTCAAGGATAGTTTTGTGACAGTTCTTGCAACTTCTAAAAGAAACCAATGTGCTTTTACTTGACAGTGTTGTTTACTTTCACAAAGCCAGTGTCATTTGAATTTGTATTTAATAATATTCAAAATTAACGAAAGATATCTCCTTGCTTATTAATACATGGTCAGAAAGTCAGAGCTGTGTTCACTTACGTTGTGGCCATATTACAATTGCAACAATGCCTGGGAACACCCCAAGGGTGTTTTAAACAGGGACACATGAAGCCTCTGCTCTGATGCTGTGGAAGTAACCCCTAGGTTGAAAAGCCTGCGCAGAAGTTAGGTGAATGCTTCTGTGTACAGCCTGCAAAGGACCACTTAGGAGTCTGTCAGTATGGGGAGACCTTCTAGCAGCCTTCCAGTAACTATAAGGGATCTACAAGAAAGCTGGAGAGGGACTTTTGACAAGGGTATGTAGTGATAAGACAAGGAGCAATGGCTTTAAACTGAAAGAGGATAGATTTAGATTACATTTAAGGAGGAAGTTCTTCCCTCTGAGGGTGGTTAGGCACTGGAACAGATAGTCTAGAGAAGTTGTGGATGCCCCATCCCTAGAGTTGTTCAACGCCAGGATGGATGAGGCTTTGAGCAACCTGGTGTAGTGGAAGGTGTCCCTGCCTGTGTTAGGGGGATTGGAACTAGATGATCTTTAAGGTCTGTTCCAACCTAAACCATTCTATGATTCTGTGATACCCACACTGACTTGTTCAAAGCTAGCTCAACTGTAGTAATTTTTGCAAAGAAGATCTCTTGCCACCTGCTTGTCAGGGCAGGCTTCTATTGTAGTGGCAATACAAGATGTCTAAACCTGTCAGAACAAAATATGTGGCCTAAAGCTCTGGAGGTCACGAAACTGAAAAGATAATGCTGTAGAACTGGTACAGTGTTTCACTGTAGGATGGTATGTAACCAAAACCTGGTAGAAAACGGGGCAGGTGTTTAGGGGCAGCATAACCTGAATCTTGTATTTGAATAAATTTATAAAATAAATGCATAATTCAGAGTACGTGACTTGTTTTCCTGCTTAGAATACTCCACTATTAATTATTCTAGATATTTCCTATTCCATTAGGTAGTTCGATAATAAATCAGTTAAATGAAAAATAATTAAATAATACTAAAATTGCCTACAATTTTACAAATTGAACTGAAAGTGATACATTGGTACAATTTTTCATGAAAGATAACTTGTTTCAATCTAATTTAAGAAATTATTCAATTTGTTGAAGTTTTGTCAGTCATTTGTTTTCCCCTTTGATAATTTGAATATATGTAGCTAAGATGGCTGCTGGTTTTTATTTCTTCTGTAGTGTGAAAAGTTAATGTATTTCACAATTATATTGTAGTGCAATGTTGGAAGTAACACCACAGTCTTAAAAATAAAGAATTCTACTTCCCATCAGTACAGTGGTGCAAATTATTTTATTCAGTGTTAAAGACAGAAAAGATGGTTTTCTATTGGTTCATATGGGATATTTAATTTTGTAGTCTGTTTTCCAATACGTACTTTACATGGAACTATTGTGAAGTAAGAGGAATTGGGAAAAAAACCCCAAACATTTGGTTTGAATTAAATTTGGGGGAAAAAAATCCCGATATGTTCTTGTTTACTGGCACAGCAGTAGGCAAAAATGCTGTATTCCAATTTAAGGAAGATTATGTGTGCAAGAGCCCATACATATGAATAAAACATATGTTAAGTTCATTAATGAGCTGAGTCTGTAATAAATGATAAAGGAATAACTAGCTCTGTTTAAAAATGGAGAGCTAATATAATGTAAGTTTTATAAGTCAAGATAAAGATTCTTCACAAGTGTGTGGTCTTTCCAGTGAGTGAGAACATTGATAAAGTTCAATTTAAAATGTACAGAACATTTCTGGAGTTAGTTGAACTGTAAGTAGGAAAAAAAGTTGTTCTTGAAAAAATCAATACGTCTTCTATAATTAGATTATATTCTAAAAAGAGATCTGTAATTTGTTACACTATATGATTGTACAAATGCATAATACAACAAGATGTGATCCTAACTCAAGAACATATTAATAAGACTTTTGAGCAAATGGCTGCTTGATGAGATCACAGAATGTTAGGGATTGGAAGGGACCTCGAAGGATCATCTAGTCCAGTCCCTCTGCCAGAGCAGGACCACCTAGATCAGATCACACAAGTACATGTCCAGGCAGGTTTTGAACATCTCCAGAGAAGGAGACTCCACAACCTCTCTGGGCAGCCTGTTCCAGTGTTCTGTTACCCTTACTGGGAAGAAGTTCTTCCTCATGTTTAAGCGGAACCTCCTGTGTTCCAGCTTATATCGATTTCCCCTTGTCCTGTCATTGGATGCCACTGAGAAGAGCCTGGCTCCATCCTCATGACAGTCACCCTTTCTATATTTATAAACATTAAGATGTAACTTAAATGTTGAATTACCATGGTTTTGGTGTATGTGCATTGTTTTCTTACATTTAATTTAATAGGATGTAGATATTGAGAAAAATAATATTTTATGTGAACAAATAGGCAAATAAAGGAATAAAATATTTCTGGGAGAAAAGAAAGGAAATAATGGGGAAAGGGAGCTAAACATGAAATACGTTTAAGATTAATTTGTGGAGTGGAATAAGGGAAGAACTATGCTTACTGAGTCCTTTCCTTCTTTCCCCCTTTTTTTTTTTTTGACTATTCTCTCCTTATTTTTTCCCGTCAGAAATGTGGGTTTTGAACTGTATCTGATACTTGTTTATACCTGTCTTACCTATGAAAATATATCTACAACAGCAACTGAAGTCTGCACCACTTCTTTCTGAAAAGTAGTTCGCAATCAGCCATTGCAATCTATTTATTTTTATAAACGGATAATCTTTATGCTGTTTTGCCAAAAAAAAAAAGATACAGATGATGCTTGATGACAGTAGACCATTATGTTTGTAAAGGCTTATTATGGCTGCATAATTTATTTCTTTCTGGTGGCCAACTGGGGGGACTCAGAAGTCGCTCCTTGAATAGCTGTGTAGCCTTTTGTCCTAATGCATTCCTGGGAGGTGGGAAGTATCAATAGTTTGATACCCCAATGTAAATTTCCTAGGTTTCCAGACTGCTTTTCTGAACGCTTCTTATCTCCTCCTCTCCTACGCATATAAAAATCTGTTTAATTAGTTCAAGGTTCTTCATTATTTGTTTTTGTTTTTTTTTTTAACTTTTGGAGTTTGTTAACAGGACTATGAGGGAACACCTTGCTTTTTCATTGTCTTAATCCACTTGCAATTTTAATCTTTTCTAAATGAGTAGATTCCTTGTACATAAAATTTTAAATTATAAAGCAGGGCAATGTGAATATAGCAGCTTTGTGGTTTAATGCTATTATTCGTGAATGTCCTTTATTCCTCTAATGTGTGTATGCCTATGTGCCTTATCTACATCTTCTGTGAGATGAAGTATTGAAATAACCTACAATTCTGCTTTTGAAGCACTGTATAGACTCTTATGCTGTCATACACTGAAATTAAAAGAACGGAAATAGTTCATATCTTAAGTATGTTTTCTTAGATTAGGTGATGCACCTGCTATTCAGAAGAGTGGTCCATCAACTTGAATGTCAAGACTGCTACTTTTCATCCTGCTTTTCAGTACTCTGGTTAGAATAGAAAATAAGGTGTTTATGTAATAATTCACTTGTGGTCTCTTGTATATGCTTTTGAATAAATTTGAGTCTGCTGAGCACTGACATACAGGCTGATTCTGACAACATATTGAGGTGTGCAGTCTTTGGTTCTGACCCAGTTCCATCACAGAATTAAAAAAAAGTGTTAATTCAGAAGACGTTGTTGTTTTGGACTGTACCATATCGGGAAAATATTTGAAAGTAGAAGGAGCTACAGCTGTTTGCTTAAATAGGTTAAATCATTTCAAAATTCTTTTATATTATTCTACAACTTATTAACTGGATTTGCTAGATCGCATGCACTAGATCATGAAAGTCAAAAATACTTTTACTGTTTAACATACTAAATAAACGCAGTGCTTAGGCCCACTTTAAATTTCTTAAGGTGATACATATCCCCTCCCAAACTTGTAGAAAAAAAAAAATAGGCATCTTCTCAGTTTTATTAGTCGTTAATTTGACTCTTTAATATAGATATTCCAGATACAGAGTGTATTGCCCACCTATTGTGAGCAAATTAGTGAAACAGAATCATTGAGGGGGTGGGGGGTGAAAACATTAATATTTCAACTCATATTCTTCATCTTTTCTTGTAAATGTTTTCTGTGTTTTTCTTTGATCAATTAGGACCTTGTACTCATTTTTTTAGTACTGTTTGTATTCAATTGGTGACTTTTTAGGTTCCAGTACGTGACTAGTACTTGCTGCATCTGCTTTCAGATAGATGAACAGTTTAATAGTAAATACACAGTTTTTGTATCAGTTTCCACAGATAGGAAATAGCACAGCTTGATAGGAAATAAAATGTGATGTCTTGGTTTTTTTATTAGTTTAATATGAAAAATCTGTGAGTTTCCAATAACTCTTAATTAATAATGTCATTAGTTGATTTGATTTAACTTTAAGATCATGATAGCAACGATGATGAATGCCAGGTAGTAGTATCCTGCCTACCTAACCTGTCTTCCTACTATGTCTCAAGAGTTTTCTTGTTTGCCCCAGCTGGCCCAAGTATTTAAACTTGACGGTGGGTACACAAGTCATCCTTTCT